CGCTTTCACTCTTAATATAGCTGTAGATCTTCTTGGGTTTGTCTTTAACCTTATCTGCCAGATCCATCTCATACCCTCCTTTTGCTCTTCTGATTTCCATCTTAAATGTGCTCCTACACTTTTTATAGTCATTTAGGGATTTACTTGAGCCCGAGGTTTATCTGTTCTTTTTCCTGACCAGAGCCTCAATATCCCTAGTCAGCCAGGGATCGCTAAACCTGCCAGCTTTTCCCTTCACCCTAACAGGGACATGCTGTCCCTGGACTCTTGATATCACACTTTTAAAAGCCTCCCATTTGATAGTCATTTCTTTTCCTTCAAACAGACTCACCCAATCAATCTCTGCTAGATACTGTCTAATGGCCTCAAAATTGGCCCTGCTCTAGTTCACCTTAACCTGTGAACCTGTAGGGCGGCATGGTGGCTCACAGCGCCAGGGACCTAGGTTCAATTCCACCCTCAGGCAAATGTCTGTGTGGAGTTTGCATGTTCTCCCTGTGTCTGCATGGGTTTCCTCCCACAGTCCAAAAGATGTGCAGGCTAGGTGGATTGGCCATGCTAAATTGCCCATAGTGTTCAGGGATGTGTAGGTTAGGGGGGATGAGTCTGGGTGGGATGCTCCAAGGGTCAGTGTGGACTTTTTGGGCCAAAGGGCCAGTTTCCACACTGCAGGGATTCTATGATTTCCAGTTATAATATCCCAGTGCCCAGAGCCAATCCATGCTCTGAGCTCATCTGCCTTACTAGTGAAGCCTCGTGCGTTGAAATAAATGAACTTTAAACCAGAAGTTTTTCCCTCCCTTTACTGTGCCCCAGGCTATCCTGAATAGTCAACTTGCCCTCGATGGCTAATGTTGTTGATTGGTTCACCGAGCTGACTGGTTTTCATGCAATAGTTTTGTCTCCCTTCTAGGTGACATTGCCAGTGCTGTGTAGCCTCCATTGAAGTGCTGTTGTTCTGTCCCGCTCTGAATTTATACAGTCCAGTCTGTCATGGTGGGCAGTCTTCTTTATGGTTTTGTACCGTAGTGGTGTGTAGATGGGGTCTATTTCAACATGTTTGTTTATTGCATCAGTAGTTGAACTGTGAGAAACACTACATAGGACAGACGGGCAGGAAACGCGCCACCAGGATACATGGGCACCAACTCGCAGCAAAACAGCACGACCAACTTTCCCTCATTTCAATACACTCCAACATAGAAGGACATCAATTTCACTGGGACAAAGTTACAGTACTAGGACAAACAAGACAAAGACAAGCATGAGAATTCCTGGAGGCCTGGTTTTCAACTACTGATGCAATAAACAAACATGTTGAAATAGACCACTACGCACACCACCACTACGGTACAAACCCGGAAACAAGACTGTCCGCCATGACAGACCAGACTATATAAATTCAGAGCAGGACAGAACAACGGCGCTTCAACGGAGGCTACACAGCACTGACAATGTCACCTAGAAGGGAGACAAAACATTTGAATGAAAACCAGTCAGCTCAGCGAACCAACCAACATCTCTAACAACCCGAGCTACAGATCTTCGTTAAAACATTAAATGGCTAATGTATTTTCCCCTGACTTCTTGAGGCCCCTCTCTTATTCACAGTCCCACACCCTCTGTCAAACTAGTTTAAACTCTCCCAGGTAACACTAGCAAATCTCCTAGTGAGGATATTGGACTCCCCTCCAGTTCAAATGCAACCTATCCTTCTTGTACAGGTCACCTCTACCCTAGAAGAGATCCCAGTGATCCAAGAACCAAAAACCCTGCCCCTTACACCAGCTCCTCAGCCATACATTCATCTGGCCTGTCTTTCTATATCTATCCTCACTGGCGTGTGGAACTGGGAGTAATCTGGAGATCATTACCTTTGAGGTCCTGCTTTTTAGTTTCTTACCTAATTCCCTATACTCATTTCACAGGACCCCATCCCTTTATCCATCCATGACCTTTGCACCAATGTGCACAATAACCACTGGCTGTTCACCCTCCCCCTTCAGAATGACCTGCGACTGCTCAGAGACATCCTTCACCCTAGCACCTGTGAGGCAACACACCATCCTGGTGTCTCTTCTGCGGGCACAGAATCTCCTGTCTGTCCCCCTCACAGTAGAGTGTCCTATCAATATCGTTCTGTCTGACTGCACCCTTTCCCTCTGAGCCTCAGAGCCAACCACAGTGCCACTGACCTGATTGCTGCTGCTAGCCCATGAAAGTTCACCTTCCAACAGTATCCTAAGTTGCTTACCTGTTATTGAGGGGAATGGCCACTGGGGAAGCCTGCACCATCTGCCTTCCCCCCTAACCTATTCTGGTCATCACCCAGCTACCTGCAGCCTGCAACTTAGAAGTGACCACTTCACTGTCGCTCTTACCAGTGATGTTCTCTGCACCCCGGATGAACCTGAGTGCATCCAGCTCCAGTTCCCTAATGCGGTCTGTCAGGTGCTGCAGCCGGGTGCACTTCTCACAGGTGTAGCCACCAGGGACACTGGAAGTCTCCCCGATCCACATCCTGCAAGAGGAGCATGCCACTGCCCTAATAAAAAGTAGAGTTAAAGAATCCTTACCTGTCCCCCTACTCAGCCTCCTCACATCAAAAACCTCACAAGCAAAGGCCTAAGCACTTCCACTCAAATACTGGCCCGGTATCCTAATAGCTTCTCCCTTCTACACCTTCACCTAGCTCTCTTTTTTGGTCAAAGGAGGAGGGAGGATGGAAAACACCAATGTTCTGTTTCAGGTTTAACCACACCTTGTCTGACCTGCTGTACAGTCATGATGACTGTGGCACTATTTCCCAGAGTTCCACTGTGATGACTATCAGCTGCCTTCTGACTCATGGCCCTTCTTCACTATCTCACAGAGGGTGTCTTGCAGAGGTCTCTGTACAGTCGTGATGACTGTGGTAATGTCTCCCAGAATTCCACTGTGATGACTCAGTCAAACTTTGATTCACATTGAGTTTATGAAAGGGTCTCTGGTAGATAATTGATAAAATTATCAATTTTACATTGGCAAACAGCCACATATAGTGATAGCATAGGAACAGAAGCAGGCCATTCAACCCCTCAAGTATGTCCTGTCATTCAATGCAATCATTGTTGACACTGTTGGCTACAGCTCAGTTTCTGGTACTATTACCTCTAAAGAACTACGATGTGTTCAAGCCCCACTCTAGACAATTGAGCACCAGATTTAGATAGCCATGTCAGTGCAACACAAAGGCAGTGTTACACTATTGAAGATTGGAATTTTCCTGCAGATATCTCTTCAGTGGCTATGTACGCATAGAATAGGAGATTTGGCATAATTTTCATGCTCACTTTTATTCTTCATTAGTGTCAGGAATGTGGACATTGATGGGCAGGTCAGCATTTATTCCTCTCCATAATTGTTCCTCGAGAAAATGTTGGTGATCTGCCTTCTTGAGCCAGTGCAATCCATGTGGTGTACATACACCCACAGTGCTGTCAGGAAGGGAGTTTCCATTCCTTTTAGACTTTGTAGCAGTTTGATACAATTGAATGGCTTGCCAGACCACTTCAGTGGACATTTAAGAGTCAAACACGTTGCAGTGGGGTTAGAGTCACATGTAGACCAGGTAATGACAGCAAATGCCATTCCCTAAAGGACATCAGTTTTTATGACAATTGGCAATTCTGAGGATTTTTACGGCAATCAACAATAGTTTCATGGTCACCATCAGACTAGCTTTTAATTCCAAATTTATTAATTGGACTCAAATTCCACAAGCTGCCATGGTGGAAATGACCCGAGTCCCCAGAGCATTATCGCTACACCACTGCCTCCCTCATGCAATGGGGCTTTGGGAATATCCATGGCCCTTTCCTTATTCACCTCAGATATAGCACCCCATTTTAGGTTCCTCTCTTTCATGGGCAAGTGCGTCTGTTTCTCTTACAAAGACAACATGAAGTAGAAGATAAGGCAGGAAGGAAACCCCCTCCAATTGTTCGGGGACTGCATTTCATCTTCAGCAGGCTTATCTGTGAGCACTGGGCACTGTGTCAGTGACCTGCAAGATTGAGCAGCAGCACTTACGCTGTTTTCTGCTTTGCATGTTGCTTCCTACAACTCAAGGGGGGTAACATGGAATATTAGGACAGCTCAATCACATTACCAGAATACGACAGGTCACTTAACCTCTTCTGGCACGGAAACATTTTCAATGGAGAGCCCCCAAGCATTCTCCACCTCTGCAGTCCAGAACTAAGCCCTCATGGTTAGGGTTGGGGACAGTTTTCACATGTAAGCCTCACTGTTGCTGAGTAACTGGTGACATTACATGAATTGACACAGTATGGCAATGTCCTTGAGGGGCACACATGCTTTGGGATAAAGTAAGGCTTGGAGTAACCTCAGGATTGCTCAGTGTTCGGCCTCCTCTGTTGATGTTGTAGCGACAGGGATAGTGTGAAAGGTTGTTGAGTTGAAGTCTGAGTTTCAGAAGCTGCTGCCAATCCTGGGCTGCAGTGTACACATGTATAATTGTTCTGTTCTCTTGGCAGAATGAAGCCATATCTCTTATAGAGAAAGACTGAGCTAGAAGACTCTTCTCAGCTAAGTGAAGCTGTGTGTAAATTAGCTGCTGCATTTCCTATGACACAGGTTATACTTTAAAAACTATATTGTTGCTCATAATGTCCTGAAGCGGTGTGGAGATATTTGTGATCAACGTTGAAGGTTTTGAAGACATTATACAGAGGAACAGGTAGCTAGTGGAAATCAGTGGTGATATTAAGTGAACAGGCTGTGACATTGTTTGCAGAATGCACAATGAGCTTAACTTCATAGAGGGTAAAATTCAGAAGAAGTTGGGTTTGAAGGTTATAAAGGCGTGAATAAAAGTTTCAGGGATAGTGAGTGACTAAGAATGAAGACGGGCAATAATACCGGTTTACAAGTAGGTGGTCTTTTTGAATAGGAAGAAAACCAATATGCAGATAAAAACATACTAGACCACTCTTACATCAAATGTGTTAACCAGTTTATTTTTAAAATGGCAGTTTCACCTACAGATTCTCCACTTCACAAGCAAACATTTAATTGGAATTTATAATTGATCTTCTGCACACTGTGTTCCCCTCAAGTCTCCCATTTGTTAATATTCTTGCCAAGATTTCACATTGGAATTTCGATTTCTTCAAGTTAAGTGACAGAGTTGTTACATTGTTAGCCATAAGAAAACAGTAATGAGAAATGAAAATTTTTCTAAAGTGACAGAAAGCTCTGCTGGAATGAGCAGCTATCTAATCTTTTACTGACATGAACTAAGATGCTTCCCAGCCACAACTAGATTTTCATCAAGGATCATGGAAATGAATGCTCTGTGTTTCTTCAAAGAGGTACATGTTACAGTGCACTAGCTTTGCTAATTAAACATTTATGAATAATAAATGTCAGACTGCATAGGGAGCATTATGGATGTCAAACACTCACTCAGCAGTAACTGAAGCTTTCTGACATGTAAGGCAACTCCTGCAACCAATCACTGAACTAATTGTGTAACATTTGGCTTGTTATTTTTACTTTTGAAAGTCTTAAATGTTCTTTGGGAAATTCAGTTTAAAAACTTCCTCTTCATTTGATTTATTCCTTTTCATGAAAGGTTAAAAACAGTTTCTCTCTCTCACATTCTGTGATGGGATACAATGTATTGAAAATGCTGGAAAATAAAATGGTTTACAGAAACTAATAGTTCAGCCACTTCACCATATGCATTTACACAATATTTTGCAGACTTCAGAATATATCATGTCACATGTTTAGTCTTAACATTGTTTGAATTAGTTTCCAGCTGACTGGTGTCTGAAGTATAAGTGCTTAGTAGGTATTAATAAAATGAATATTCTCCATGGATGGAATGAGTTGGCTTCAAATGAATAAAAAACTATGAACTTGAGGACAAGAACATGATTCGATCTGTCGAATCCACTTCCATGTTCCTCTGCATCGAGGATTACCAATTGCTTGCCACTGCAGAATCAGATTCCTGTGAAAGAGAGAGACACACAAATACACTTTAACAATTCTATGTGAATAACCATTAGCCGACTCTGAACTTCAGAATTAGTTTTGCTATTTGTTTTCCACACAAGCTATCTTCTACAGAGTTATCAGTCTCATTCAGCACTTCAAGCAAATTCACAAAATGGTCATTTTTTAAAGAGATTTACTGTATGCAGCACTGTAGTTCTATACTTGGTAATACTGGTGAAATGTACATTCCGTAGAAAGATTATAAATATTTGTTTAGATACACAAACCTGAATTAATTATTGGATTTACAATGAACATGTGTATTCACAGTGTGTTAGGGAATGGTTTAAGAAAAACAGAAAGAATTCTATTTATATAGCACCTTTCATAAACACTGGATATTTCAAAGGTGCTTTAAAGGCATGTTAAGTGTAATCACAGTTGTAAAGTAGAAAAATATCAGTAATGTGGAATAACAACACATGGAAACACAAACCGTTCACCAGATTTTAATCTGCTGCAACAGCTCACAGGCTAGATTTTTCCAAGAAGTAGTCCCGAACCATCGTACCAACAACAGGTCTGTTGAGAGCCACCCATTGAAGCTACTGTCCAATTAAGCACAGAAGCCCAGCTTCTCAGAGTTGCCAGTCCAGTCAATGGGCTGTCAACTCACTGGCCTCAGCAGCATTATCAATAGATGTGGCTGCAGAAGAGGCTGAGGCTGCAGCAGGAGGGACTGGGCACCTCCAAGTTGAGACAAGCACAAAAACCAGGAAAGATTTTTTTCTCAAATTCTGAGGCTGGACAGGCAGGTCCTAGGAACTGGAAGGTGACAGTGCCAGGAGCTGTTACTGGTGGATGGGAGTCAGAGGGGAGCCCTCCATGCACCATGGAGGAACGATCATTAAAGAAAGCCGCACATCCCCAGGAACGCCACTGGGAAACCACTAGTGTTCATCCGGCAATATCCCCATGCAAGGGGGTTGGCCTAATACTAATAAAATGCTCGCGGGCTGAGAAGTAATCATTTACTAGCCACCTGCCTGAGGTCAGTGGACTGCCCATCATTGCCACTGACAATATCCCATGGTGACAACAGCAGGTCAGGTATTTAAACTTCAAAATCTCTCCACCCCCAACCTGTCCATATTCCTACTCACCCATCCGTTCCCCTTTCCACTGACCAATCACAATAAACCCCTGCCTGCATCCACCCACCTCCATTTCACCTACCCTCCCTCAATTTATTTCTGGGCTCCCCCCACCACCGCAGTCCTGATGAAAGGTTTCAGCCCGAAACTTTGACCTTCCTTGCTCCTCGGATGCTATCTGACCTGCTGTGCATTTCCAGCTTCATATTTATTGACTCTAGCTTCCAGCATCTGCAATCCTTACTGTCTCCAAGGGGGTGGACATGTTGCTGGATGGCACTGTGCTATGTCAATGTCACACCCACAGCACATGTCAGCAGTGTACACAGCAGACACACTGAATGTGCTTCAAACAAGTAGCCATCTCTCAAAATACAATGGGAACAGTCCATTCGAAAAAGTCAAAGGGGTCTGTCAGTCAGGGGCTCCACTACAATCAGTCTGAACTACGTTCTATCTCAGACCAGAGGCTCGTACATAGTCAGTCACTTGGCAGAGTCAGGGACAAGTGTTCTGTTCATGGGCAGTGAGCTCTCTTCAGGCCTCCAGCTCCATTGCAACCACTCCAGACATTAGCAGCAAGTCATTTGGGGACCTTTGCAAAGATCAGTCAGGGACTTGGTCACTCATCAGTCAGGGCTGACATCAGGTTGGTTGGGAGGAGGGCTCTGGCCAGTCTTGTATGCATAGGAGGCCCAGAGTGTATTGCCCTCGATCTACTTTCCTCCTGAAGAACGAGGTACATTGCCAGCATTGATTGAGGATGCTCTAGTGAACTGTCACAGAATTGCGTCATCTGCTGAAGTGGGAATGGCAAGCTGAAGGGATGGGTAGCAATCCTATCCCAGTCGCCATCGAGGTGACTTCTACACTAGATTTTTATGCAACCAACTGCTTCCGAGAATCCACCGGGGACCTGTGCAGGATCCTTAACCTACAAATCTATCCAGGCTGTTACCAATGCAATCTGCACAAGCTCATACCACTTCCTCTCATTTCCCTGTGACGAGGTCAGTGCTACAGCTCAGGCAGTAGGCTTTGCCAGCCTGGCAGGTTTGACTCAGGTTCAGGGTTCTATAGACTGTACACACATGGTGTTGAGAGCACCATATCATAACACAGCTGACTTCATCAATAGAAAAAGGTTCCATTCCATCAATGTACAAGTCATCTGTGATCATCAGTACCACCTCTTAGAAGTCTGCGTCAGGTACCCTGGGAACTGCCATGATGCCTATATACTTGAAAACTTTCATGTTCCTGCTAAAGGCTGGATACCTTACAAAGATAATTACTGGGCAACAAGGGCTCCATTCTGCAACCATGGCTGATGACTCCAGTATGGAACACCCTGATTGAAGGAGAATATCTAGCAACAATGCAGCCCATTCTTTCACCAGGGCCAATGTAGGACAGAAGCTAGGCCTCCTGAAGACGAGGTTCTGACGCTTGGAGCAGTCAGGGGAGCCTTACAGTACAGTCCAATCTTTTCACGTTGTGCTCTGCATAACTGGAGCAGGCAAAGTGAGGATGCGATGTACAGAGAAGAATTGGGAGAGTGGGAGCAGTCTTCCAAGGAGGAGGATGGGAACATTGAGCTGGGAACATCACCTTTGCTATGACAGAGTGATGCAATGTTGGAAGCAACAAGCAGACAGGACTTAACTGACAGTGGTGATGTTGCAGATTATGGTCTATCAAGGCCCACATTAATTTTATCTTGCAAAACTAGCAGACTCACATGTCAGGATTCAGCTGCCATTATGACAGATAACTGATTAATAATATCCATTTTAGACTCGACCTTATTGCATAAGGTCAAGATTACCTCCATGATGTAATCTTAAGAGCTCTCTATGCTGTTTCTGGCTGCGAATGAAATACGACTTTACTAACTGGATAACATTTAACATTTTAGCTGTATTACAAAACATACCCGACACCTTCGGGAATAATAAATTCCGTCATCTCTAAGGCACACAATTCCAGCAAGCAAGAAACTACCTTTGTTAGGAAAACCATTTGAAAAAGGTAATTGCTTGCCTTTCAGCTTCTGAGCCATCACCATAACATCTTTGGAACCTCGAGTTCAGAGCTGGAGGCTGGCATTCTACACAAACAGTGAATCCCTCTCGAAGATACTGCATCCACCGAGTGTGCGGATGGTTTTCTACCAAGCAATGTGGAGTCAATGATTTCACTTTAAATTCTACACAATACCTATGGGGCAAGGAAAAGAAAAACAAAAAACTAATGTTTGAAAAAGTACACCAGTAAATATAAAGTACAATGTATTTTTCTTTAAAATGCCAATAAAGGAGAAGGTTTGAACAGTTCTTTTTAAATTAGTAGCATGGTTTCATACACCATTCTGCAACTGAGGCACAGACTGTAACAATTAAAATGGAAATTGGTGGAGTATTTGAAAAAGAAGATTATAAAAAAAAATACAGGGAAAGGATATGTAAATTGTTAAAGCATTGATTAAAGTAGACGTTTCCAATTGAAGAGCTAGCAACTTGCACTGAATGGCTTTCTTTTCAGCTGCAGCTTCTAAAATACTATGAAATGTTAAATTATTCTGTGAAATAGCTGTGGCAATGGCCAACAACAAGACGAGATAATTTCCATTGCATTGCTGTTGAATTGTCTGTGGTTTTGATCTTGTTTACGATGGTTAACTGTTAAGAGAGAATTGTTGTTAACATCATTTGTAGGTGTGTAGAGCTAGAAAATGCGGTCATTACTGCAATCTCTTCTTAGCAACAAAGTTGAAACAATAATTGGAATGACTGCCCATGAGTGGAGGATTCCTTACTTTCTGAGCTAACTTATTGGTTACAGATCACAGCTAAAGTACGACTGCGAAAAAGTAATGCAGTTAAGCAGATCCAGAAAACTGTAGCAATTTTAAATTTCTGCCTCCAGGTCAGATGAACCCAACATTAAAAATGTTTTTGCTGTCAATACTAATTTGTGTTTGTAACTAAATACAACAGAGGCTAGATGAAAGTTTACACACAATTAAATTTATCAATGGGAAAATTCCTAGTAATGATGCCTGACCAAACATAGTTGGACTTATTGCCATCATGCAATAAACCTTCCTATTTAAGGTTTTAGCAAAGATTTGTACCACACACTTCGTCCTAAATGATCAAGTATACAAACAGATCAATGGCACACCCATGGGGTCACCTATCTGAGGACTCATTGCAGAGGCAGTCATGCAAAGGCGAGAACACACCACCCACCCCCGCATTCAACATAAACTGTGGATCCGGTATGTGAACAACATATTTGTCATTATTAAACACAAACTAGAACAGACCAACCACCTCATCAACAACGTATTCGCAGGGATTAAATTCATGAGAGAAGAAGAAAACAACAATCAGCTTCCGTTTCTGGACATCAGAGTTGAATATATGACCAACAGGGAGTCCCAAACCTCAGTATACAGGAAAGTAACCCACACTGACCAACTCCTCAACTTCCACAGCAACCACCCAACATCCACCAACAAAGCTGTGTTAGGACACTATTTGAATGGGCCACCACTGCAACACACCAGAACCACGCAGGAAAAGAGGAAGAGCGCCTATACAAAATCTTCACTATGAACGGATATCCCCACAACTTCATCTGCAGATGCCCACTAAATAGACAACAACAAGAGGACACAGTACGCCTTAACACACTGGCCACACTGTGCTACATCAAGAACATGTCAGAACTGACAACAAAACTCCTAAGACCACTAGGAATCATGGTAGCACACAAGCCCACAGCCACTCTATGACAAACACTCAAAAGGATTAAAGACCCCATTCCCACAGCATACGGAACCAATGTGGTTCACAAAATACTATGTAACAACTGCCACAAACATTATAAAAGACAGACAGGAAGGAAACTAACCATCAGAATACACAAACATCAGCTAGCAGCAAAACGACATGACAAACTTTCCTTAATATCAGTACAGTTGAACAATGAAGGTCATCAGTTTAACTGGGACAACGTAACCATAGTAGCTCAAGCCAAACATAGACACGCAGGGGAATTCCTAGAGACACGGTTCTCAACCCATAATGTAATCGACAAACATATAGAATTAGACCCCATATACAAACCCATACAGAACAGAACCAGAAATGACACAACTCACCATAACAGACTGGACTGTATAAATTCCAAGTGGAGTAGAACAACATCGCTTCATCGGAAGCCTCACTGATGAAGCTACCTAGCATGGTGACAAAACGTCTGAACAAAAACAAGCCAGCTCGGCAAACAAGTCAACAACCAAACCTTATTATCTGTGAATAGTTCCTCTTTTGAGAACTGTATGATGGTGTATCCTCCAGCACTAATCACGAGATAGACCCAAGATAAAGCAAAGCCAAAGGAGGGTTGCTGGCAAAAACTACCTCAAAACTACTTCCACGTACTGGTGGGAGGTGGCAAATACTACAGTGCCAGAGGTGATCACCTGTGGAAATACCACAGACATGGTAGTCCACTCAGTTGGACTCACATGCAGCTTTCTGCATGCTGTTTAACCCAGTGTTGCAAATTGACATACTATAAAGCCAAAGGACACTTGGTTGTGAGTGTAACAGGGACTGGTTACTTTAAAGTTCAGAATCAAACTCAGAATCTCATGCTATGAGAGGCCAGAACAATACCAAAAGGAGCTCAGGCTAATTATATCTACAGTATTAAGTTAGGGGTATAGAGTGCAGGAAGTCTTGTGATATATCAGCTATCAAGGGTTAGGTGAATCACAATAAGTGCCAGGAAATTGAATGCTTGCAGCTGAGGAACTCTGTATTCAAGCAGCAACTGGACAGAACCTCAAAATCGGTGAAGAGGATGAGTTTCTGGATCAGACTATTCAGAATCTGGTGAACTAAGAGGCAGTGTGAGATTGGCTCAGAACACAGCATAATATACAAAACACGACAGGACAAAGAGGCTCAGAACACAGGATAATATAGAAAACATGACAGGACAAAGAGCAATGGAATAGAGGATTGAACCAAGATATTGAGCAGCTACCTCAAAAATAAGCACAGATCCATTTAATTCACTGCCGCTGACCATATAATATATACACATCAATGGAATGGAACCTTTGTACTTCACAAGGTCAGTGGGCTTGTCCAGAATAGCCTGTGGGGCCATGTGTGTGCATGCAGTAATACCATAGATTGGGTGTTGAGAACATCTTAACCCTGCATTTGCATGAATCCTACAGCTGTATCCTGCTTTTCTGGGTGTCCGTGAAGAAAGGGATTAAATAATTTGAATTTATCAATATGGCATCCGTCAGTTGTGTAATGCAAACATTAACTACAGACTGACTCACCTTGGCCATATCTCCTGTTGCAGCTGAGAAGGAGTCAGAGACAAGGATGTTGAAGCTATAAGACTACAAGAGTCAATGAATACAATGCCAGTTGCAGCAATGAGCTGCTGAAGATAACGTATTATAAAACTGTAGAAACTTATAACACTGGAGACCATTCAGCCCGCCATGCCAATACTGGCTCTGAAAGAACAGCTGTGTTTAGCTCACTACTGCAGGTTCCTCATCTATATGTATCCAATTAATTTCTTTGTAAAATTATTTATTACTAGCTCTTTCACAACCACCAAGAGCAACAGGCTCCTTAAAGAAGTATAGCTTCCTTACGCATTTCTCCCATATTGAGGGAGTTAGGATGTCTGCAAGCTTTATGCTTCATCCTTAGTCACTTCTCAGCAGCTATAACTCCCTGGGGTTACTGTAGCTATATGGAGCTTTTCCATCAGTTATTACTCTTTCTCCAGCAAAAGTGGAATGACCAAAGGATTCCTATTTTCAAAATAAAACACAGTATCCCATACAGTGGTGATGCCTAAACTATTTCCCAAGATGACCCTATCCTAACTATTGAAAATTAATGTGAATCCAGATGCTAACAAAATAAAAATAAAACATTGTGGTAACATTCAATATTCAATAATTAAAGCTGTATATTATTGATCAATATGTCATGCTTCATATCATTTTGAAGTCTGTTTTTAATCTACTTTTAAAAAATATTATTCTGTGCACTTTGGAGGTTTCAGTCACACTCTCCATAATCCCCAGTAATGGAAAACTGAAGGAAGGTCCAATTGTATTTCCTCACTGCATGCGTCCTGCACTTTCCACCTCTACAAAAATGCAACCCTGGGACTGTCAGTAGGAAAAACCCAATAGCTGCCACCCCACTAAATGCAACTGCAGGACCAGTACCTTCTTATTCAGGGTTTGCAACCTATACAAGATGTCTATGAAGCCACATATATGCACCCACCCACCAGGCTCATTACACTCCTCTGTCATCCCTCAGACAAAGATTAAGAAAGAAGCAGGGCAAAAACAGGACATGAGGCTGTCTGGGTCTAAGGGCCAATGCAGAGTGCAGGCTCAGAGGAGGAAGTGTTCACAATACATCTGCTGTTTTTGTGACCCCAATGAGGGTTGTGAACCATAGCTTGGGAAGCAGTGCTCTAACTTTTCCTGATGTCATAGTTGTACTGTTCAAGATTTGTGACAAAGTTTAAAGAATAGTGGCACTGTGCACTTACAAAATGGCCAATTTACAGTAATAGTAAGGAACATGGGACACGGAATTAGTGGGCAGCATTTAGGATGAACATTTGAATGAAAAGATATGTTTGAGAAGATATTCAAAGGGCCAAAGAAATATAGTGAAAGGGAGGTGTTGAGAGGGGTGTGACAGGATGCCCAAGAGTGAGTAATAACAAACTAAAAACAGCAGAGGGGAAGCAAGTCTGGGCAGGGTTGCAGAGCTGACATGCAAGGTCTTTGGAGTGATTTGAAAATGTGAATGAGATATTAATCTTAATGTACTAGCAATGGGAAGACACTATGTCAGCCAGAAAAAAGTTGATGAGCAAGAAGGACACACTGGGACAGGTATGGGTAGCCATTTTGAGAAGTTGGAATTTATAGATGGTGATCAAAGATGGCCCGGGAGGACAGCATTAGAGTGATCAAATCTGAAGGTGATAAATGAATTGTTAAGATGTTCAGTTTTGGAGGAACTGAGGTGAGTCGGAGACAAGCAAAGCTATGAATTTGAAATATGTTGACTTGGTGGAGAGAACATAGGGGTTGAAATGTGTTAGAAATCGGGGCAAAGCTCATGTTAAGATCAAATAAGTCAAAATTCTGGAATGGTCTTTCAATCTTAATAGTGTCAAAGAATGGAACTCGAGTTAAGAGTGTGGGAGTGGAGTTTGTGGTGATTTCCAAGAAAGATGGCTGAAGGAAGTTATAATTCATCCAAACCTTCATGATGAACAAGACAAAGATTGGGTAGGAAATTCAGTTATGTAGTAGCAAAATTGAGCCCGGTATCTTTAACAAACATAGGAAGTTGATCTCCTTGGACAAATATAAATTCAGTTGTTAGTTTTAGTCAAAGGGATTACAGGTTAAAGAATTAGGTTACAACGTTAGAACCCTATTCTTTGCGTGCAAATTAAAGCACAACTTTAAACACTTTTAAGCACAACCTCCAGCTTGATTAGAAGAATAGATCAATTTACTCTCATACTTTAAATTTTAATATTTAGAATATTATAAATCTGCTTCTACTCTGTTGATCTGGTAACATACTTTTGCATTATGTTTACTGAAACAACAGTTTTGCATTTTGAAATTAGTTTCAATCTTTAGTTACTTGTCTTGCACAACTTTGACTCCCTAAGTAGAACTGCTTCTTTAACAATGGCCTTATCCTGCTCAGAGATAAATGAAGAAGTTTGGAACATCAAAAGAGCCATATTTTCATGGAGATATAAAGAATACTACGGTCATTGATTAGAGTTTGGTCGATGACTTGACCAAGGCACATCATAAAAATCCTACAGAACATCACCAAATCTTGATCAAAGAATCGACATTTAAGTCTCCACAGCAATTTCACTTTAAAAGAAACATTTTTGACTGTTGTGCATTTTAGGTTAGTCAGGAACAAATGCTAAGAAAGCTACAATAATGCAGTACTATTTATCCACAAAGGAACATTCTCAATTTAACAAATGCTACTTCTACAACCTGTACATTTAAAATTTTGTTCTAATCTGTAGCGCACTTTGCTGTTATGTCATTAATTTGAATTATTCTTAATTCTTCTTTAGAAAATATTGGGGCAGTTCCAATGCCACCACATTCACAACATGATAATCAGATATAAAGGGAGTTTTGGTCAAAAATAGGGCTGAAGAGTAGCAGTGATTGTCTAACCTTTATTCTCTTTTGAGTGCAAAGTATCACTGGATGAACAGAGTTACTGAATTTATCTTGTCACATTTGCATTTAATGTGGAATTAATTGTTGATAACTCGATAATTGGTTTACATATGCTTCATTCAAACTAAATGCACTTACTGTAAATATTATACATTAGAGAATCCATACATGGCATTTGTTAGTTTTGAGAATGTTGTTTAAGGTACTGATCAGTTGAAGTTGATAACGAAACATTTTTCCAATTCTCCATCCAATCTACACCAAGCACTCCTAGCAGGCCGAATACAACAAGGATTAGCCATTGAGCAGATATCCTTCCTTCCTTCCTTCCTTCCTGCTTTGAGCTAACAGTTTCAAACTCATTTCATTTTGAACTCTTTTGGCAACCGGAATATGAATGCTCAATTTAAATAATGATGATACTACCAGATTTGATTGAGAAAACAATTTTTCTAACATTTCTCTAATTGCTTGTTTTAGATCTATAGTATAATTAGGCGTAACTAAATCCATCTCAGTACACTGTGGCAAACATATTTGAGACTTTTTACTTACCCTGGTGCCTCAGATTCAATGAATACATCTCGTTTTCTTCTTGCTTTTCCATATCCTCCCATAGTAATCAAGGCAGGGACTGTACACATTAAAATAGAAAGATGTAAATCATGAGTGACAACACCAGGCAGATGTCCAACAAGCTACAAACAAAGGTTTGTACAACCTAGCAACACGTAAAGATTGCCACCAATGGAAAATTAAATGTATATTATGAATGATATAAGAAGTGCATTATTCATTAACTTTATTTATTTATGTGGTCAAATATGAATGCACACAGCACCATAAAGAATGCAAACTTCCCCATGTGATTTTTTTTTACTATTAGGTGGCAAAATAAATCTTAACTTAACTAAAATTCTTGATTGTGAAATAATATTTACATGTTGCATTTTAAACAAAGTGAATGAAAATGCTGCTCCTTATGCAAGTCGTTATATTTTTGTCTTTCCTCAATGTAGAAAATGTAATGCTGCTGCTCATTCACAACCTGAAAGATACACTGTTTCATAAGGATGGCAAACCAAAAGAATAGGCATATTACATATACATATTATATAAAACTCTATAAGGTAAATGCCAGATGAGAGTAAACATGATGTAAAAATCAGCAAAAGTCAGTTATGCCTCTGGGCACACTTCACTGAAAACTGCACATAGCTGGCTACACAATCCGACACGTCAAATCAGAGGTGTCAGATCTATACGTGGATCTAATTCACGAACAATACAAGAACACAACAAAGCCCTGGGGAAAATTGATGCACAGAGAGATCTGGGTGTTCAGGTCCATTGTACCCTGAAGGTGGCAACGCAGGTCGATAGAGTGGTCAAGACGGCATACGGCATGCTTTCATTCATCAGACGGGGTATTGAGTACAAGAGTTGGCAGGTCATGCTACAGTTGTATAGGACTTTGGTTCAACCACATTTGGAATACTACGTACAGTTCTGGTCGCCACATTACCAAAAGGATGTGGATGCTTTGGAGATGGTGCAGAGGAGGTTCACCAGGATGTTGCCTGGTATGGAGGGCACTAACTATGAGTTCAGGTTGAGTAGATTAGGATTATTTACATTAGAAAGACGGAGGTTGAGGGGGGGACCTGATTGAGGTTTACAAAATCATGAGAGGTATAGACAGGGTGGATAGCAAGAAGCTTTTTCCCAGAGTGGGGGACTCAGTTACTAGGGATCACGATTTCAAGGTGAGAGGGGAAAAGTTTAAGGGAGATATGCGTGGAAAGTTCTTTACGCAGAGGGTGGTGGGTGCCTGGAACGTGTTGCCAGCGTAGGTGGTAGAGGTGGGCATGATAGCATCATTTAAGATGTATCTAGACAGATACATGCATAGGCAGGGAGCAGAGGGATATAGATCCTTGGAAAATAGGTTTCAGGTTTAGATAGAGGATCTGGATCGGTGCAGGCTTGGAGGGCTGAAGGGCCTGTTCCTGTGCTGTAATTTTCTTTGTTCTTTTTCTTTGTTAACACATACTTAGGTTTATCAGAGATTTATTGACAAGTGTACTTTTTCTGGAAGTACAAAAGATAAAGGTCTGAATTGTATCAGGATGACCCAGTTTTTAAACTGAATGATGGACCAACAGCATTAGCTGTTCATTAAACTTGCACTTTGACACAGACATCCTGTGGGCTTCTGTGTTGGCATTTAGAACTGAAGAACGGTCACTGGACCCAAAACTCTGCTTTCTCTCCACAGATGCTGCCCAACCTACTGAGCTTTTCCAGCAATTTCTGACTTTGTTTCTAATTTCCAGCATCCACAGTTCTTGGTTTTTTTGTTCAGAGAAATCTTTGTGCAGGTGAAAATGTGATGCCTGAAGAGCAATGCATCTCTCAGAAGTTTTATATACGCATATAGATAATTTTTGATAGATAGTGGGCTGGATTTTATATCATGGAAGGTGTATCATATAATAAAAAGACAGGCTGGCCACTTTGGCAGGAAGAATAGAAAAACAATGTTCTCTAAAAGATTAAAGAGTGCAATCTGTCAAACAACTGTATCTGGATGTCCTTGCAAATGATTCACGAATATTTAGCATGCAGATTCCCATCACTGTACAGGGCATGGGGAGACAATAGCTCAATACTGTGTTCTGTTTTCATCCATTTACTTAATGGGAGATATACTTAAGCATATACATAAGATTCACTAAGCTGAATCCTGGGATGAAGGGAGATTGTCTTGTGAGGAAAGGTTAAGCAGGTCTTTGGACTTCAGAAGAATGACAGATGATATTATTGAAATAAGATTTTGAAGCAGTTTGACAAGACAGATGGTGATAAGGATTTTTTCCCCCTCATGGGGGAAGTTTAGAACTAGGGGGCATGGTTCAAAATAAGGAGTCTCACATTTAAAACAGAGATGAGGAGGAATTTCTTGTCTCAGAATGTTGTCAATTTTTGGGCTCCTCTTCCATGGAGAGCAGTGGAGATTGCAGCATTGAAAATATTCATGGCAGTGTTGGACAGCTTTTTTTGTTCACTAGAATGTCAAAGATTGTTATCTTTCATGTCTTTCATCTGAAAGTCAATCTTTGTTTTTTAACAAGGTCAGAAATCACAACACCAGGTTACAATCTAACAGGTTTATTTGAAAACAAACTTTCAGAGCCTTACTCCTTCTTCAGGAAGGAGAGAGAGAGGTAGTACCAGACACAGCATTTATAAGTAAAAGATCAAAGGGTCACACCACTGTTGAGGATGTACTAAACAAACCTAAGATGCTATTAAATCTTTAATCAGTTAAAGGTTTTAATTGATTAATTTTTAAAATTTTTTTCAAGGATGAAAGGATTATCTGTTGACCCATTCCCCTCCCTTCCACATACTCAGCATAAAACAGTAGCAGAGAGTGAAATAATTCCTGAGGCTAAAATCCCATCACCTAGTCACCCTTTATTTACATATGGAGCATCCTTGACATTAATCTAGCCTTCTCAGAGTGAGCAGAGCCTCCTGTTTATATCTGTCAGCCAGAGATCCTTGATTGGACCAGATTAACAGCCCCAATCAGGGAAAACATACTCTATGAAGTCCACCTGGCTGACCTCATTACAGAGAAAACCTGCTGTCCAGGAAATCTTTGATGTTGATCAGCCGTGAGCTGGGAGCTGCTTGAACAGATATTCTGCAAATATTATTGTTGTTGATTGTCCAATTCACAGCACTCCCATGGAGGCATGACTGCAACTAAACAAACTGCTGATTCCATCCTTTCCCACTTGGAACTAAACAAACTGCAACTCTGGACCTTGCCTGAGTTTATGTCATAGCAGCGGGTCAGCAGCTGCTGACCAATCTGTGGACTCATCGCAATAGCTAATCCATGTAAAGGATGCAATTTTGGCCCAAATCAAGGATGTTGTAAACCCTTTAGAAGTATCATGTGTGTAGAAGTCAACCCTTAAATTGTTGCATTAAAAACTGGTCTCAAAAATTCAACTTTTACATGCTGTACCTAGTATATTCACACAAAGCAAAGCTGAAATATTGCACTTTCTGTTATGGTTTGTTTGGCTGTAGGGACTTGTTCGTTCTCAACCTATTTACTGTAGACACTGGACAATCTAAAAATCAGAGGGCTCTGAGCATGCATGTAGTGCACCAAAGGTAAGAATGGAGTAAACTTACAGATTAATTAATACTTCTAATCTTAGACCAATGGTGAGTAACCACTACCTTGAAACTAAGCCCCTTACAAATAATTTTGCCTCCTGCTGCCTGGGTTGAAACTTATTCATTTTTATAACATTGCAAAAAAAACAAATCCTAAAATTGACATAATAGTGGTCTGTTAACCTGTTTGATTAAATTCTGATACACAAATTGTGTCTTAAGAGAGGTTTTTGTATAAATGTTAACACATTAAATATCTTTCAAAACATTCTATAGAAACACCTACCTTACTCACATACTGCAAATGGATTTGAATAAATTAAACATCACATCACAAAATCATAAAAGACTCACCCAGTCAAATTTAATTGTTCTCAGTCCAAGGGGTTACGTCCCTTTAGTTAAATAAGAGTTCAGCTATTGCTGAAAGTTGTGTTTACAGTGTCAATATTCTTCACTTATGAACAGTAATATAAACAGATCCCACCAATAAATTTAACTTACTTACCCAAGGATTGCCTGCACATTGTATCCCCATCACTACGATATTCTACACAGCCCGCTCTTTCTTCCAAGGGAGGACATGGTTTGCCACCATTTTGTGGCTCTTGTGTGATGTATCTTTGACGAACACGGTAAGTATTTTTGCATTGCTCTGCACAGCCACTCCAGAAACTCCATTCAGACACTTCACAAGAAACAGCTAATAAACCAAGAGAAAGATTAATACTATGGACTTTACATGTACGAAAGATTCAAGCACTTATTTTAAAATAATCCAAAGCATATCTTCCCAATCATTTTCATCTTGAAAATTAATTTGCATTAGTGCTTTGCATTCATATTAGGGTGCTTCCAGCGCCACCAAGAATATTCGAGTACATCACCTTAAAAGATTATGCTACCTGCATAAAACTGGGCAATGGATGCCAGCAATTATTAGCTGTAGTCAGCATGGATTTACAAAAAGGAAATCATTCTTAACTAATCTACTGGAATTCTTTGAGGATGTAACTCACAGTTGATGAGGGGGAGCTAGTAAATGAAGAAGGGTCTGGACCCGAAACGTCAGCTTTCCTACTCCTCTGATGCTGCTTGGCCTGCTGTGTTCATCCAGCTCTACACTTTGTTATCTCAGATTCTCCAGCATCTCCAGCGTGGGTAGTGAAAGAATTGAATGCTGAAGATGGTGGGTGGGGTGCCAAGGAAGCACACTCCTTTGTTCTGGGTGGCATCAAGGTTCTTGAATGTTGTTTGAGGTGGACCCATCTAGCTAAATGAAGAGTATTCAATCAGACTCCTGATTTGTGTTTTATATACGGTGGACAGGCACTGGGGAGACAGGTGTTGAGTTACCCCTCACAGAGTTCTGAGCCTATGATCTGCTCTTGTAGTCTCTAAATTTATATGGTTGATCCAGTCAATTTCTGGCCAATGGTAATCGACGTGTTATTGATAGTGGGGAATTTAGGGATTGTAATGCCATTGGGATTATATCAAGAGCAATGATTAGATTCTCTCTTGTTGGAGAAGGTCATTACTTGGCACCTGTGTGGCACAAACGTTACTTCCCACTTGCCAGCCAAAGCCTGGATGTTGTCTAGGTCTTGCTGCATATTAACATGGGCTGCTTTAGTATCTGAGGAGTCGCAAATGGTGCTGAACATTGATCCCCTGATTTCTGGATTGTTCGGTGAAGGGAAGCATCCTCTCTGCATCTACCCTCTCAATCCCCGTTTGAAATTACATTTCAAATAGATCATCTCTCTTTCTTCTAATCTCTAATAAGTACAAGCACAACCTATTCAACCTTTCTTCATAACATTATGCCTTCATCCTGGAATCTGCCCCTTGAATCTTCTCTGAACTGCATCCAATGCATGAATAGCCTTCCTTAAGTAATGTGATCAAAACTAGATCTCACCAGTGCCCTGTAAAGATGTAGCAAGGTTCCCTAATTTTATCCTGGCAGACCAGGCTCTTAGAGCAGAATGACATACTCATGCTTCCATTTTGTATAGTTCTTTAATCTTTCACTCAGTTGTTACTAATCTTCCCACTCAGTCAAATCATTGCAGCTTAAGTCCCAGTCCAGGACAAAAACCCAAAAAGATGATACTCTAGTGTAGTACTTTTAGGTCTGTCAACCTTTTAAGCAATACCACAATATTTTTTTTCCTATCTAATATGGACATGCACTCACGAGCTAAGAAGCTCCAGTGGCAATGCACACAGACTTTTAGGGATAGCAGGGCGTGTTGATCAAGTCAATGGAAAAGCATATGGGTGACTTGAGTTTTTACATTGGGGAACAGAAAATAACAGCAGAAATCATGTTAGAACTTGACCAATCACTGGTTAAGCCTCAGCTTGAATACTGTGGGCAATTCTGACCATCACGCTTCAGCAAAATTTGAAGTCCCTGGAGACCAGACCTCGGACAAGGTTCCACAAGGTAATATGATTCCGGACAGGAAACCAGAAGTTGTCAAGTACCAAGGTGAAAACTGTTGAAGTGGCTCCTCTTTTTATTCACTAACTCCCTTAGTTGGTTGCAACATGATTAATTTACAAAGGATTCCACCTCCTCTCATGGATATCTTTTTCCCAGATCAAAAGAATTTATGGTTTAATTTAACCAGCCATTCTTGAGTTGACAAAAGAATGAGTTTATTAGCTACTGAACTCAAGAAGAAGTAAGAATGCAATACACACATATGCACTGATTAGAAATAACAGTTGAGTCCAATAAAAGATAAACATTCACAGAATCACAGAAGTGTGACAGCGCAGGAGGCTATTCAGCCCATTCTGCCCACACCAGCCCATGAGAATTTTTCCCATACCCATCTGCATTGTTTTTAACCAAAAAATCATCCACTGCCCTCTAGAATACCTCCATTGAACCTGCGTCAGCCTCATTTCCATAACCTAACTACTCACTGTGTGAAAATCTTTTATCCCCACTACAGTTTTGCTTCTTTTGCAGATCACTTTAAAAACCTATATCCTCTTGTTCTTGTGCCTTTCAGTTAAATGGGAACAGATAAAAGATAGACACCGATTTGTATGGTTTGTTCATAACTAATAGAAAGTCAAATGTTTTGGCCATTACAGTGGTTGTTACTGGTACATTGCCATTGACTGTGAGCACTTGATTTACAAATTCTTTGCTTGGCAGGTTGATAGAAATTCCTTTTTCTGCTTCCTTTTGACAGAGGCTGGCTGACAGCACACAGAGTGAGAAAAGTACTTTTTTTCTTTTCTTTACCTGCAGTGCAAAAGTGTTCAATGGTTGATCTTAAAGCTGTGACTTTCACAGAACACTAATTTATACACAATGATGTCAAACTGGTGACATACACAAACCAAGGCTGAAGCTCACTTTTAATCCCTGTCCCTGTTATTCTTGATGGGGAAAACACAACTATGCCCAGATGGCTATGTTTTCACCAGCATGTTCGCAATCTGAGATAAACACAAGGATTACAGTTCTGTTTGTCATGTACTGCTCCCATTGAAGCTTCTTTGACATCTGAAGGTGTGACATTCCAGAATTTCTTTCCAGCTAGCCACTGGATTTGCATCTGCAGACATTTTGGCCTGTATTTGTCCTCTTGTAAAAAATACATATTGGAGTTTCAAAGTCTGATATGTCCATAGGTGATACAGTGTTATGATTGGTAGTCATGATGTTAAGAAAGGTGCAGAGGAAATTTATTGCAATAATGCCAGAGATGAACGGCCTGAGTTATGAAGAAAGCTCCAACTGTTCTCCTTGAGACAGAACAAGTTAACAGCTGACCAAATTATGGTGTTCAGGTGATAAGAGATTTTGATAGAGAAAGTGAAAAATTATCTTCTCTGGCAAGTGATCAACTGCTAGAGGTCATAGATTCCAAATCATTGGTTAAAATCTCTATGGGGCAGATGAGGAGAACTGTTTCACTCAAGAGGTGGGATATTCTGCCTGAAGTTGGGGTGGAAACTGGTTCTGCAGATAAGCTTGAAAGGGGGTTGAGCAGATATTTTGGGATGAAGAGCTTACAAAGCTGTAGATAATAATAAGGCATGTGGGTCTAAGTGCAACAACTTTTTCAATAAGACAGTATAGGAATGATGGCCTGAATGGTCACCTTCTGTGTTGTATTATTTCATGAATATAATGACTGCCTTCTCCTGTACTCTTTGGTTTGCAGCATTCCTTTCCGTCATTAACTGAGATACAAAGTATTCGGTTACTCCTCAGCCATGTACTTAGTCTCCAGGGTGGCACAATGGCTCAGTGGTTAGCACTGCTGCCTGACAGCACTGGGGACACAGGTTTCACCCCACTCTTGGGTGACTGTCTGTGTGGAGTTTGCACATTCTCCCAGTGTCTGTGTGGGTTTCTGCTGGGTGCTTTGGTTTCCTCCTACAGTCCAAAGATGTGCAAGCTAGGTGGACTGGCCATGCTAAATTGCCCATAGTGTTCAGGGGTATAGGTGGGTTAGACATGGGAAATGCAGGATTACAGGGATGGGATGGGTCTGGGTGGGATGCTCTTTGGAGGGTTGGTGCGGATGTGTTGGGCTGAATGGCCTGTTTCCATACTGTAGGGATTCTATGGAAGGTAGAGATCTCTTTTTAGTCCTTATTTGCAGCCCCCAACCTTAATTATATGTTTCTAAAAGACTTTCAGTTTGACAGCTCTAATCTGTTCTCGTACTTTTGTCCCTCTTATTCTTTGTGTTTTTTTAATATCAACCTGCATATTTTCTATATACAGTTTATATACTGGATATTTTCCATATACAGTTCTATATCCCATCCCTTCCTTTTCATTTTCCCCCCTTCTGAAACACCTTTAAGGTATCAACTAAGTGGGTACTTCTAACATCAATAAAGGAGCCATGTGGATCTGAATTTGAACAAAATGAATATTATGCTTGCATTTCCAACAGGGTTGTTTGATAAAAGCTGAAAGTATTATCCCTCATAGCAACATTGTGACTAACTTACCAGTCACATCGCCCTCAGTTACCTGCATCCGTTTGCCAGGTAAGTTTAAATGACTTCATAGTATTTGTCTTTGGCTGAGTAATGAACAGAATGATTCTTTATTGTGTGTTGGCACCTATCCGTATGTGAATTGCTAAATAACTGATACATCCCACTCTAACCCAACAGTACAACCGTCCAACTGCCACTGATTATGGTCTTTCCACAATTAGTCTCAGTTCTATGTCCAAATACTAAAAATACGTTCGAAAGTTAGTCCAGACTAACACGGTAAACTAAAGTATAATCCAAAATAAAGAACTGCTGATGCTGAAAATCTGTAGAATTGTTGGAGAAATTCAGCAGGTCTGGCAGCATCTGTGAAGAGAAAGCAGAGTGAACGTTTGAGGCGCTGCCAAGCTTCTCCACTAATATCTGTTCCTGTGTCAAAGATAAACGGTTTTATCCCATCAGGTCGTGGATTGACTGATAATTTATAGTTTGCTCGCCGTTCATTTGTGGTCTTCCAGTTCCTCTGGACCGATGCTCCACTTTTAGGGGATCACTTTGCCAGGTGCTTTCCGCTTCTTTCCTCGGAGTGAGTGGAAAATGCATTGGGGTATCTCTAACACGGCGTCGCTCTGTTCCCTTAACGTTGGCGTACAATGCTCGGTTATATTGATTAACCAGGGATCTTTTCATTGGCATTTCCAATGAATTCAGATGACTTATTGGGTACAGCTGTAGTATGTGGAGTTTACTGTTGAGCCATTTAGCCGACACTATTTTGATAAACATCGTTAAATTGTTTAATCCACAGACTAGCCCCACTGCATCCGTCTCTATTAGTGAGTACAGAAATTATTTACTGTTTAGACAGGCGCCCATCTGATGGTTTGGTTCAAGATGTGGATACGCATTTCTCGCCCAGTCTAAACAGAACACGCAGCAACAATTGTAGGTTTTTGTTTATTAAAATAGGAAGCAGTTGTTGTTTAAACAGAGAGGAGTCCGCTTACCTGGGCAGGCGAGTTGGTAATCATGGCAGCAATCCAGGGTGTGTACACAAGCCTGGTCACAGTAACAGGTTCCGTAGGAGCGATCGGGGCGCCAGCCAGTGCTGTGACATGCAGATTCTCTCCCAATACAACACCGCTCCAGCTGCACACAGCCACCTTCAGCAGCCGCTTCCAACAAAACCAGCCCCAACGCGAGAACCCACAACATGCTTCTCAACTCCATTTCAACCGGTCTACACCATCAGTGGATCCTTCCTGGTCCGTTCTGGTTTGAAATGGTTTCCCAGCCTTCCCCCACCCCTCCCCAGTCTCAGGCAGTCAGACTCCCTGCCAAAACTTCAGCAGTAAATCGGCGGAAGGGACCACTGTCAACTACACGGCCGCTCTCATTTCCCAATCAGTTTCAGCCTCTCTGACCTTTAGCCTCCACTTTAGTGCCATCAATCTGCCGTGTTACAGACTGAAACCGACACAATCTCAACAAACATGGGCTGCTCTCTGATGAGTTATTACTCAGCTCATTGTGACTGGGAGAAATTCTTTCCCATTTCAACCCAAGCCCAGGCTGAGGTGACGAACATGCGGCGTCGATCTTTTAAAGAATAAAACAAAGTTGAAAGACGTTCAAATGGTTCGTGGTTATTCGGGATTCAGTTAATTCCATGAGTTTCATGGGAGAGTTTTACTTTGTAATCCAGAAATAGTTAGACATTAAAAAAAAATGTTCATTGCTCTAAGACCTTGGGAACTTTGCCATCCACTTTTTAAAAAAAATTAGATCATTCTTAATGAGTCTGAAGTGTTTGAGATTCCGCCGTCAATCCAGCCAGAATTTCCAAAGATTTAAGGCAATACCTGTCTAATGGTGTTAATAATGAATTCACATATCAAAGCACCCGATAGTTCATTCTACTTAATCTATCCAGTGACTTCTCGCTTTAGTTAAGGCGCATTGAGGTCCTTTCTTTACGTCCCATTGATTTTAATTCTACAAATGACCCCGTCCGCGGAAATTACTGTTTATTCACAGATAAACAAACAGAGGTAGCGTATCCTTCAGTCCATTTAAAATCCAAAACCAACAACAGCCCTAAATTGTCTTCGGCGGCGGAATTAAGTCATTTTCCAAAGGATTGCAACGCGACCAAATCAGAGATAGCCCACACTCCTGTTGCTCGTGTCATAACCATGGAGGAACTCCAAAGCACTTACATGTTTTTGTTTAAAGACCAGGGGTCAAAAGATGACAGCCACTATCAAGCTAGTGGCTGTCTGGAGAGAGAGTGAGAGAGACCCTGGGATGTCACACTGCATAATGTGTCAAGGAAACTCCAAAGTGATGGACTTAAAAGGGGAGAAATGTACAGCAAACTGCATTATACATTTCTGGGAGTTATCTCAGACTGTGATCATGAGGGGGGAAAGCCAGCCTAGATGAGAGACATGTTTTGTGTCTTCCCCTTTCAAGAATACACAAGAAGAGGAACCAGACGAAGAAGATTTGGCAGTAAACTGAGGTGTGACTGTGTGCCAATGAGCTGAGATACTTGTGTGTACCAGTCTAAGTTGAAGCACTATTGCATTATGGAGGTCACAGACAAAGAGATACACACTCTGCTGCTGCATTGCAACTGAAATGATAAAAGCCAGCCAATGACTTGGGGTATCTCATCTGGAACTATCATAGCTTGGGTAACCATGCCCCAGGTCTGCATATAACACTTAAAACATCAGAAACAAGTTGCATTTATGAGACTGAATGCAGCAATAATATGCCAACAAGAACAGGACATCTGTGCATTAGGATCCCTATTCAGTCTAATTCTGCACCTCTTTAGCATCACCCACAATATTACAGACAGAGTCTTGCAGTTTCAGACTGTGAGACTAAAATGAAACCTGGCTAGATCCCAGTTTGGAAGCAACTGTTTGCCTTGTCTAGAGAGCAGATGTGAAGGTATTGTTCTTGTCCACAAAACCTTCACTCTTATTTACACAGAACAATGTGCTAACATGGGAAAGGAGGGCAAATATTACTTCAGCAACTGCTGCTGAGAACATAAAGTAAGAATTATAGCAGTTTACAAAATAGTCTAAAAGGTTTTATATTTAAATTCTAATAAATGCATGTAAGTCTTTTCACAATTGCGGACAGCATATACACATTCTTTATAGAAATCCTTTGTTTAGAGTTCTACCAATTGTTCATTTTTTTAAAAAATCATTTGTGTCCTGCAAGAATCACTGGCAAGGCCAGCATTCATTACCCCCATTCTGAATTGGCCTTGCAAAAGTGACGGTGAGCACTACAGTCCAGGCGGTGTTGACATATCTACAGTGTTGTAAGTGAAAGACTCCCAGCATTTGACCTAGCCACACTGAAGGAATATGATCAAAGGACCAAGCCAGGATGTTGCAGAAATGCAATGGAAATCTCAAAAACATTTCATCGCGTGAGGGAAAAGAGTGACCCATGATTTCTTGCCTGTCTTTTAATTTATGTAAACATTCCCCTTCACACTTTATCAGGCATAATTAATACAGTCAGAAATGGTGTCTGTCACCTGTTGAATGCAGATTCTTGCAGCTCCTTGAGATGTTTGAGATCTCCAAGTGGTGATTTATGTAAAGCAGAGTTTTGGAAATTAAGAGTTATTGCCCACCTTCATTTTCACTGTCAAGCCCATTGAGAAGGTGATTCAGGTCTTTGGGTGCTTCTGTGGCATTTTACTGAGTGGCCTTTTTGATTCCTTAATGAGATACAATCTGCACATGTAGCCTCCTTCATGTGAGCACCCTGGGGAGGGGTGGGGACTATATTTTGTTTTTGAGTAATTGTCCCTTTAAGAACTAGGTTTCTCTAGGATATGATTTCTGGTAAAGCACCTGACTTCCAGTAAATCATGTTACCACATTGCCTGGGAGATAAACAATAATGGGAAAAGGTCATCAGGTTGAATCTTAAATCTTTTTGGCTAAGTCCAATTTGCATCCAGTTTTTTTCCATTGAGGCTTAATGAATTCTCTCACCATTTTTTCCCAAACTCACCTATTAACAACCTGCCCTGGCCCTGTGGGGTCCCTTACATCTCATTCTGGCTCTACCTTACCACCAACTTACTACCAGTTGTTTCTGGAACAACTCACCACTTAGTGGTTATCCCAGAATTCACCAGCATTCCTTGCATTTGAAAATTTGCTGTGCACCAGGCCAAACTCTGTCAGTCGGGTGCTGCCCTGCACAGCATTGGCCCTGGATTTGGGGGAAGTCAGCCCTGCTTTGCTGGCAGATCCTGGAGGACCTGCTGCATGGGGTGATGTAGAAGCAGAATGTCCTCTTCCTCAAGGCCCAGCAGAAGAGGCCTTGATGCTAGGCCATGCCAGTCAGGTTTGAGGTTGCCGCCCAGATCAATCTAGAGGAATGCATGGCAATTTATCAAGAATGTTAATGAGCTTCTCATTCTGCCAGCATAAGAGACACCATCTTCTCTCCAATATCTCACACTCACTGTGTCTCTGCTAATGTACCCCCTTCGCACCAAAGCTCAAGTTCTACCCTTCCCACTATTGTCTGCAATATCTTCCCGCACTAGTGGTCACCTACCCAACCCCTTACACCACTAACCCATGCATGCACTCTGCACTGCCTACTCATTCAATTGGGGCAGATTCCAGTAGCCAGCACCAACAGTAACCGCTATACCAACTATGTTCATTTCCCTTAATACCTATCCATCTCTCATTCCAGGAGGAAAGGCCCCTAGCAGGCAGAAAAAGTCCAGACATTCTGTTCTTTACCCCATTTTGTGGAGAGGATCCTGACTCTACTTGCCCCGAGCAGGCCGTGGGCTGGTGTCAGAAGCTGCACTTATTTACTGTGCCCACGTTACCAAAGGCTATCGCTCTTGATGCGACTGACACCTGCTGACAATCATGACAAAAGTCCATTTGATTTTTGTGCAGTTAAAGTCTTTTGATTTAGAGTGTGAACATTGTGGCTTCATTCTTTTAATAAATACCTAGGTTTTTACACTGTAACAAAAATTAAAATGTTACTGGCCTGTACTAAGATCATTACTTTTCACAATGCCTCGAATGACGTACACTCTCCAGTGAGGGAGTAGTAATGAGTTCACTGCAGTCTCTTATTATGCTGACTCATATACCATGTATCCTCCCTCACAAATCGCATCAATACTAAGTCACCTCACTTACACCATTATATCTCAGTGAGGACAAATGAATAAATCCAGGAAATATTTGATTGGTATTGTTTACAATGGTGGGCAGAGCAATGGTAATGGTAATTTTTCAGTCAATCTTCATGTTGATGATATTGCATTCCATCATCTTTTCTTGGATTTTACAGAATGATATAAAGATCCCAGAAACTTATTGAGCAGTGCAAAGAATGGATTTCTGAAAATCCTATGCTGGAATAATGGAGCGCATTTTTGATTCATTGTTTCTATGTCATAAAATCACATCATTATTATGCAGTTAATTTACTGGAAACAGTTTATTCGATTCCTGATTTATTAATTAAATTAAGTCTATAGTAACTGATGTGGCAGGGTTTGACCTCATACCTCCCAATATTAGTTGAGTTTACTGGATTATTTGCATGTTATTGTCATTAATGTTACTATGCCCAATCATGAGGCCTTGATTAATAAATTAGAAATCCCACTGCAGCATCTGAGAAATCTAAATTTACTTAATTATGTAAAATCTGGAGGAAAGAAAAGTTAGAATCAATATTGGTAGCTACAAAGCAACTAGATGCTCATTAAAAACTCGTCTGCTTCACTGATATTCTTTAGGGAAGGAAACTTGTCATCCTTATCTAGTCTCATTTACATAAGACATAAATCCATAGCAATGTGTTTGACTCTGAACTGTCCTCTGCTGCGGCCAACCAAGAAGTTTAAAACCTTATCAAGGTCAATCAGAGATGGAAAACAATAAACAGTGCCCTTGTCAGCACCATCCATATCCTGTGAACAAATGAAATAAAATATAAGCTTGGTGTATACATATACCTTCTAAAAAAAAATTATTCGATATTGTTTCAATAATTGACAGCAGAGTTTCTTCTTTAAGTCAAGATAGGGCCAACTAGAATACATAGAAATCACAACACAGTAAGTTAAAAATAACATATTTGGCCAGACCAGTCTGTTTGGATATTTAGAGATAACAAGGTGTAGAGCTGGATGAACACAGCAGGTCAAGCAGCATCAGAGGAGCAGGAAGGCTGACGTTTCGGGCCTGGACCCTTCTTCAGAAATGGGGGAGGGGAAGGGGGTTCTGAAATAAATAGGGAGAGGGTGGAGGTGGATAGAAGATGGATAGAGGAGAAGATAGGTGGAGAGGAGACAGACAGGTCAAAGAGGCGGGGATGGAGCCAGTAAACATGAGTGTAGGTGGGGAGGTAGGGAGGAGATAGGTCAGTCCAGGGAGGACGGACAGGTCAAGGGGGCGGGATGAGGTTAGTAAGTAGGAGATGGGGGTGGGGCTTGAGGTAGGAGGAAGGACAGGTTAGGGAGGCAGGGACAAGCTGGGCTGGTTTTGGGATGCGGTAGGGGGAGGGGAGATTTTGAACCTTGTGAAGTCCACATTGTTACCATTGGGCTGCAGGGTCCCCAAGCGAAATATGAGGTGCTGTTCCTGCAACCTTCGGGTAGCATCGTTGTGGCACTGCAGGAGGCCCAGGATGGACATGTCGTCTGAGGAATGGGAAGGGGAGTTGAAATCAACTCGTCTCTCAACTCCCTGCCTCTTTGACCTGTCTGTCTCCTCTCCACCTATCTTCTCCTCTATCCATCTTCTATCCGCCTCCCCCTCTCTCCCTATTTATTTCAGAACCCCCTTCCCCTCCTCCATTTCTGAAGAAGGGTCTAGGCCCGAAACGTCAGCCTTCCTGCTCCTCTGATGCTGCTTGGCGTGCTGTGTTCATCCAGCTCTACACCTTGTTATCTCAGATTCTCCAGCATCTGCAGTTCCTACTATCTCTGTTTGGATATTTATTTAGTGCAAGCAATAGTTTGAATCAGACTTATGCACCCTATTCTCACATTATTTCATCCACCTATTTAATCTAATCTTAAATGCTGCCATAGTTTCTGCCTCAACTGTTTGCCTGGAAATTAATTCCATGGCCTCACAGAGTTTAGCAGTCTTTCCTGTCCCCAACTCCAATGTTCTTTCATGTAATTTTGCAGTTATAGCTTCTTGTTCTTAACAGTTCAACCACTGGAGAAATATCTGTTTTGATCTACCCATTTGATTTCTTTTTAATAATCTGAGAATTAAGAATCATTTTTCAGTCAGTCTTCATCTTGGTGATATTGCATCCCATCATCTTAACATTTGTTATGACCAGTCCCAGGCAAGGTTTCCCAATTTATTATGGCTTCAGACAGAATAGCCCAAATTATCAACTCCAGAGTAAGGAGGGATAAACTAGCTTCCCTTCTTTATTCACCTGCCCTTTCAGTTGGTCACAACAAGGTTAATAAACAAGGATCCCCTCCCTTGTGGATATCTTTCTCCAATAAATGAATTAATGTTCTTAAAAATAACCAATTCAACTAAGCTTTCTTTGGGATCCCAACAAGCTATATATAGTCATATCTACATAACTGTAGTGGCTATTTATCTATAGCTACAGCTTGTAACAGGAAAGTCCAGAGCTAGTTGCATAAACTACAAGTCAATTTGATGGATAATTTAGGATGTATTTATCTCAAGCAGAATCCAAAGCATAGTTATACAGTTTTTGTGAACTTAATTAATTGACTCATGTAAAATAGACCACAACTTTGAAACAGTTTTTGGACATAGTCACTCAGAGTACCACCTCAAATCCAAGTAGATTGTTATCCAATGGCAGTATTCCCAACTTTCAGTTACTCATGTTGAAATTGAATAGGAGGAAATCACAAAATAAAAAAATAAAATATTTCACACGAGAAATCCATTGTATCACATATGATTATTAATTGGTCTTTCCTGTGGTTCAATACAATTTAGAAATTCTTAATCTCCCAACAAAACTAAATGGGAGCACATATTAATTTTTTTCTCTGGTTCTTTATTACACTTAAAATATTCTGGAAATTTCTGCAATTTCTCTTCTCCCAGAATGCTAAGCGCTCCGGAAGTCAGCAAAACTTTGAAAGTAGACATTTCTTTTGAAGAAGAGAATTCTAATAGGAGTTTTTAGTTTAGGACTTCTGCTAACAAATCCAATGGCAGATTTTTAGCCACTTTCACCAAGGGAAGGAGTTTTTCCTAGAATCCTGACTTCTAGAAATTATTTGATTTCCATTCTGAATGTTAAACCCACATTGAATAGAGATTGGTCAAGAACACAAAGGAAGAACAATATATCCTTGGTTCCTTTACAACCAATTTTACGCACAGGCAGGATCCCAAAATATGACTGTGACACTCAAAACAATCCTCAAATCACCTAAGGTGATATTGAAATTCATAACAGAGAAACTGCAACAAAAAGGAACTTCTAGAAAGTTGGCTCCATTGGTGCTGCTGTGCCTCAGAGAAGGTCTTCTGTAGAAGCCAACAGCCCTCAAATCCATTCACATACTTGGATAATCTGTTGTTCTTTCAATATCTTTAGTGCTCCTTTACATCTTTGTTCTGCTGATATGAACATATTGCTCATGTCTGTACTTGCAGTCTGAAAGTTTAAGATGCTTCAAAGTTAAAGGCTATTTCGGACCTTCACATCATCTGTAAGGATAATTGAATTTTTGAGATAGGTCTCAGGTCTCAGATCAATATATCAAGTATTCTACAAATATCCTGAAGAATTTCCTTAGGAAATCATAATCTGTTCAAGCATTACACTCTTACATGCTTTTGAAATGTCTTCTTATTTTGAGTAAGGAATATGGGAAATTGATTCATACCTCTGCTTCTGTTTCAGATTCTCATTCTCCATGTTAGCAAAGATAAGGAGTTTTCGAGGCTGAGAGGGAAAAGGTGCAGTCAGACAGAGCAATACTGATAGGAGAGTCAACTGTGTGGGGGACAAACAGGAGATTCTGCGGCCGCATAAGAGACACCAATGTTCTAGGATACAGAAACTACAGGTGTGACAGAAGTACAAGTAAGCGAGGAGGGGGAGTTGCCCCTTTGATAAGGGAGTACATAATAACAGCGCGTAGAGAGGATATACTTAAGGGGTCATCCAATGAGCCATATAGTTAGAATTTAGAAACAAGAAGGGGATGGTCACTTTGTTGGGACTGTATTATAGATCCCCAAATACCCAGCAGGCACTAGAGGAGCAGATGGGTAGAAAGATTGCAGATACCTGTCGGAATAATAGAGTAGTATTGGTTGGAGATTTTAATTTCCCCTGTATTGACTTAGCCACTCAGAGTGTAAAAAGCCAGGAAAGGATGGAATTTATCAAATGTGTCCAAGAAAGTTGTCCTAAATCAATATGAAGAGAGCCCTACTTAGGAGGGTGCAACACTGGACCTCCTCTTAGGAAACAAGGTCAGGCAAGTGACTGAAGTGTCAGTCAGAAAGTACTTTGTGTCCAGTGACCGTAACTCTCTTAGTTTTAACATAGTTATGGAAAAAGATAGGACAGGTCCACAGGTGCTAAACTGGAGCAGGGCCAATTTTGGGACTGTTAGGCAGGATATAGCAGAAGTCCATTGGATGAGTCTGTTTGAAGGAAAAGGAATGACTGGCAAATGGAAAGCTTTTAAAAGTGTGATATCAAGAGTCCAAGGACAATATGTCCCTGTTAGGGTGAAGGGAAAAGCTGGAAGGTTTAGGGATCCCTGCCTGACAAGGGATGTTCAGACTCTGGTCAGCAAAAAGAAGGCGGCATACATTGGGTTTAAACTGTGGGGCTCAAGTGAATCCCTAGATGATTATGAAAAGTGTAGAAGCACACTTAAGAGCAAAAAGAGGGTATGAGATGGATCTGGCAGATAAGGCTAAAGACAATCCGAAGAAGTTCCATAGCTATATTAAGAGTAAAAGGATGATTCACTTAAATATCAGCATGACTGTCTTATGTGTGGAGCCACAGAAGATGGGGAGATTTTTAAGGAATATTTCACCTCGGTGTTTACTGAGGACAGAATCATGAATGCTAAGGAAATAAGGGAAACAAGTGGGGATATTTTGAACTGCATACTTATTACCAGAGAGGAGGTGTTTGCAGCCTTAAAGTGCATTAAGGTGGATAAATCCCCTGGGCCTGATCAAGTCCATCCCCAGATGTTATGGGAGGCTAAGGAAGAAATTGCAGAGGGCTTTGCAGAGATTTTTGCTTCATCTTTAGCCACTGGTGAAGTTCCGGAAGACTGGAGGGTGGCTAATGTTGTTTCATTGTTTTAAAAAGGTAGCAAAGATAAGCCAGGGAACTACAGGACAGTGAGTCTGACATCAGTGGTAGGCAAGTTATTGGAGAGGATACTGAGGGACCGGATCAACCAACATTTGGATAGTCAAGGTCTGATTAGGGATAGTCAGCATGGATTTGTGTGTGGGATCTCATGTCTGACAAATCTTTTAGAGATTTTTTGAAGAGGTAGCCAAGAGGAATAGATGACGGTAGGGCAGTGGATGTTGTCTATATGGATTTCAGTAAGGCCTTTGACAAGGTCCCATGCGGCAGCCTAGTCATGAAGGCTAAGTCGCATGGGATCCAGGGAGAGCTAGCTAATTGGATTCAAAATTGGCTCGATGGTAGGAAGCAGAGGGTGATGGTTGAAGGTTGTTTCTCGGACTGGAGACCTGTGACTAGTGGTGTGCCGCAGGGGTCGGTGCTGGGACCTTTGTTATTGTTATTTACATAAATGATCTGGATGTGAATGTACAAGACAGGATGAGTAAGTTTGTAGATGATACAAAATTAGGAGGTATTGTTGATAGTGAGGAAGGTTATCAAAAATTATAGAGAGATCTTGATCAGATGGGGGAGTGGGCTGAAGATTGGTAAATGCAATTCAATACAGATAACTGTGAGATGTTGCACTTTGGAAAGTCTAACCAAGGTAGGACTTATGCAGTAAATGGTAAGGTCCTGAGGAGTGTTGTGGAACAGGGGAACCTAGTTCATTGACCAAGTACACAGTTCATTGAAATTGGCATCACAGGTAGACAGGGTGGTGAAGAAGGCATTTAGCATGCTGGCCTTCATTAGTCGAGGCATTGAGTATAGGAGTTGAGACGTTATGTTCCAGTTGTATAAATCATTGGTGAGGCCGCACTTGGAGTATTGTGTACAGTTTTGGTCACCCTGCTATGGGAAAGACATAGTTAAACTGGAAAGCATGCAAAGAAGATTAACGAGGATGTTGCCAGGACTATTAGGCCTGAGTTATAGGGAGAGGTTGGCCAGGATAGGACTTTATTCCCTTGTAACATAGGAGATTGAGATGTGTCCTTATTGAGGTGTATAAAATCATGAGGGGCATAGATAGGATGAATGTATGTGGTCTTCTTCCCACGGATGGGGAATTGAAAAGTGGAGGGCATAGATTTAAGGTGAGAGGGAAAGAATTAAGAATGACCTGAGGGGTAACTTTTTCCACACAGAGAGTGGTGTGTATATGGAATGGGCGGCCAGAGAAAGTGGTTGAGGCAGGTACAATAGCAACGTTTTAAAAACATATGGATAGGTACATGGATGGGAACTATTTAGAAGGACATGGACCAAATGCGGGCAATTAGAACTAGCTGAGTGGGCACCATGATCAGCATGGAACAGTTTGGGCCGAAGGACCTGTTTCCATGCTGTATTACTCTATGACTCTATGACACTAAGTCATAATTGGCTGGCTTTTAGAAAAATAAAGATTAAGAAACAATATCAAAAATACTAGGTTCTAGTCTCAGCATCAACTCCTGTAATTAACTGTATTAAAAAAAAGGGAACTATTCTTTCATGCAAGGGAACCGAAGTGAAAAATATTTTGGCAAGTCATGTCCTTAGAGCAGAGGGACCACAAATTTGTCACTTCTTTGCCGTAGTGAAAGGGCATACTGAAAAATGCACAGATATTTTTTACAATTCTTTGCCAAGGAAATGTAATCTGAAAGTTTGAATTTTGTAATTCACATAGTTAACTCCCATTGACATTTAAATTGATTATTTTAAGTAACTGATTCTTTGATGATTAATTTTGTCACATTGATACAATGTTTTAATTTAATGAACTTTAGCCTGTGCTCACTTGGAAAACCATAGTGGTGCATATGTTAAATTCAGACTATTTCTTAACAGTGTAATTTATCCAAGATAACATATTAAAGTTTCATGGGGAGTTCCCAGAAATGTTCAAAGCTGTAAAAAAATTGGACTTTTAATGTATTTTTCAATTCAGAACTTTGACAACAGCAAAGCAGACAACAAAAAAAACTCATTCAATTGCTACACAGCAGAGCTTGCAAGCACATATTATTAATAATTTGACAGAAGCACTTACTTTACACTTTAAAGATGCATCTGACATTTAAAGGACAACATAAAAAAATCAGCTTGGCGTTTTACAATTGATTTATTTCCTACATTTATATTTAATGGTTGAAAGTTCCTCAACAGAGGCTGAGTCAAATCTTTCAGACCTGAAATGTATTACAAATATAAACCATCTATTACACCATTTTTATAAACACATTACCTTATCTTAATAAAATTTTAAGTTATAAAATAATTTTGACAGGTATTGTGAAATGTCAGGTGAATAAACACACATTTGCAAATTGAAAACATCAGTCATGCCTGTATGTGACAATTACAAAGGAACGAGACTTATCAAAGTAAAGCAAATCTATACCTACCCTCAAGGACAAAACAAAGGAGTGTTGCGGACAGAGTTGAAAAAATTAGAAACCTAAAGTCTAAAGGTCTGTTCTTATCACATGTACTGACGCATAGATCAGGTTATACTTCAGACTTCACAGAAATGCCACGGTAGAGACAACAGAAGGAGCCTTCCATAGAATAGTGTGTATATTTACATAAGAGCTCAAAGTGATGCTGCAAACTACACCTTTAAAATCAAATTCTACGTTGATGTATTCCACCTGCAAATACTTGAAACATTTTTATCAGTCAGCTTTGCCCATTAGATACTACGTATTTGGGCTGAATTTTATGAAGGCGGCAGGGGCCCCTCCACTGTGACCAAAAGTGTGTGGGGATAGTGGGCACCCCACTGATGAACAGTAGAATGCAGGTCCATGTTTCATTGGTGATGATCAATGGAGTGACTGACACTGATATTCCCACCCCTATTATGGACAATGGCCTGCCTTCAAACACTGCCGGCCCTGTCAGGGAAGCTGCATTTGTAGGATGAAGGTACATCAGTGGCTGTACGCTCTCAGCATCAGATAAGTAGGATAAAGTTGCTGTCAGTCATGCAGGTCCCAACAAGCTAGAGGAAAGATGTCATCGAGCACATGGTGCCATTGCTGTAGCAATAGCTATTATGGTAATTGGGCCCTTCTGTGTTTCGAGGAAAGTGCATAAATGATAGGCTGCCTGCCTTCTGAATCTTGCTGGGATGCCACCAGGGTTTATCTGGCAGATTGTCCATGTGGTGACAGTCCCACCCACCCACCAGCCCACCAGCCCACCAGCCCCTAATAAAACACCAAGAAGCAGAAAGATACCTTTCAATGGTCATGACATGATGGCAGAAAAATGTTGGATCACTGCTACTTTCTTGCATCTTTTACCCAGGCTTCCCACCTCACAGCCTGGCTACTAAAATTCAGCCCTGTCATTTACATGTTTGAATGCAACTAAATGCATCTCATTTACATTATTTACAGTTACTCAAGTGATATCAAAGATTAATATGCTCATAATATATAAAGCAACAGTGAGAAAGAAATATCAGTAATCCTTCTTTTCCTGATTGCATTCCAATTTTCCCAAACATTATGTCCCCTTCTCCTGATTGCCACTCCCCCAGCCTGATCATCATTTCC